GGATAATTGAATTTGGGGATGTATGCATCTATCTTTTTAAAAGCAATCTCTTTTATTAAATACTCAATGCAATGTTTTGTTTAGACCACTATGTCATCATCAATGACTTGCCCTTCCCTCGACATTGATATTAAAGAGATTCAAAGCCCCCAGTCCCACATTTCTACAGACCTTAACTCCACAAGTCCTAGGCCACCCACACCTTAGGTAACTTTGTTTGATTGTAAAAAATCTATGGTTTTATTATTAACACCATGTTTTTTCTATCACTTTATTTAAATTATATATTTTGTACTTTTATGAAAATGAATGGGTGCCGAATTGTGATGAAGAATTGAAGTCCAAGGTTGGTCATCAATTTGATACCTTAGAAGAAGGTGAAAATTTTTACAAAAGGTATGCACATAATGTGGGATTTAGTGTGCATTGCTCATCAGAAACTAAAGATAAAGATGGTGTGAAGCATTGGAAGTATTTTGTTTGCTCAAAAGAAGGTTATAAACCATATAAGAAAAAGGTTGTGGAACAAAGCAACTCAACTATTAAGTCTAGGAGAAGGAGTCTTATAAGAGAAGGATGCAATGCAAAGGCTGTTTTCAAACTAGTAGGGGAAGGTAAATATGAGCTAATTTGATTTTATGAAAGTCATACACATATCCTTGCTTCACCTATGAAGAGACAATCTCTAAGATCAACAAGGAAAGTGAATCTTGTTCATAAGAGTTTATTGCATTCATATAATAAAGTTAATATTGGGCCTTCAAAAATGTACCATCTATTGAAAGAACAATTTGGGGGTTATGAAAATGTGGGGTGCACACAAAGGGATCTTCAAAATTATTCAAGAGATTTAAAGACCCCAATTAAAGATTCTAATGCACATGTATTTATTGACAACTTTAGGAGGAAGCGAGAAATTAATCCATCATTCTACTATGCATATGAGGTGGATGGAGAAGGTAGACTAAAATATGTTTTTTAGGCAGATGGCATTTCTAGGAAAAATTATTCCTTGTTTGGGGATCTTGTTTCATTTGATACCACATATAAAACAAACAAATATTCAATAATTCTTGCTCCATTTACAGGAGTAAACCACCATAGGCAATGTATTACATTTGGTGCGGCCTTTTTAGCAGATGAGAAGGTTGAATCATTCATTTGGTTGTTTGAAATTTTTTTAGAAGCAATAGGGGGCATCAACCAAATCTTTTAATTATTGATCAAGATCCTGCCATGAAAATTGCTGTAGAAAAGATTTTTAATTCTTCTTCTCAAAGATTTTGTATGTGGCACATTATGAAGAAAGTTTCTGAAAAAGTAGGTGTGTCATTGAATGCTAATAAGGAGTTCAATAGTGATTTCAAGTCATGTGTTTGGAGATAGGAGTCACCAGATGACTTTGAAGAAACATGGAAATCTATAACAATTAGGTTTAAATTAGAAAAGAATGATTGACTCTCACACATGTATGATATTCGAAGCATGTGAAACCCAACTTACTTTAAGGATTTTTTTTTAGCTAGGGTATTGAGAACAACTTCAAGATCAGAAAGTGAGAATTCTTTTTACGGTAACTTTTTGAATCCTCATGTTAGCCTAGTTGAATTTTGGATGAGGTTTGATTTTGCAATAGAAGCACAGAGGCAGAAGGAGTTACTTGCTGATAATAATTCACTTCATTATATGCCGACATGGAATATATATATATGTACATATATGTAGGGATGGCAACGGGGCGGGTCGGGTACGGGTTTCATGATACCCGTCCCCTTCCCTGCGAATCAAACTCATCCATGTCCCCATACCCGTACCTGTCGGGTATGGGATTTTCATCCCCATCCCCGTCCCCGTCGTGTATCGGGTATACACGTACCCGTACCCGTCAATTTTTATTTTTTATTTTGTAAAAAAATATGATATTTTAAAATTATTTTTTATTATATTTAATTATAATTATGTTATTTCTCTATCTCATATTATAATAAATAATCACACATAAAAAAATATTAAAATTCTTTAATGTAATTAAATTGAAAGTGTATTAAATTAAAAATAAAATCAAGGACGGGGACGGGGACGGGGACGGGGACAGGTACGTGGACGGGTACGAGGCGGGTAAGTATATACTCGAACCCGTACCCATACCCGATTTAATATATTGGGTTTTACCCATACCCGTACCCGGTCAAACCGAGTATTCCTGTCAAAGTCGGGACGGCTTCAGGTATTACCGCTGGTACGATACTTATTATAAATGAGATATATTTTGATAATCACCCTTTTGATCTTTATTTTTAATAGATCATTATACCCTTGAATATAAAAAAAAAACTTATATCATTTTTAAATAACTATTTGTAACTTTTAATATTTGTCTGTGTATAACTATTAGAGGCACTTTGTGTCTCGATCTCTATAGTAAATAAATAATGGATATTAATCAACAAAAATTTAAAATGAGTTTAAGGCAAAAGATTCAAATAAAAATAACAATATTTTAAGTTCTAATCTTCTAATTAATTATTTTTTTTCTCAATCGTAAACCTTTATTAAATTAAAGTCATAGCTAAAAATTTGTTTAAAACTATTTATTTTTCTCTTTATATCTAATTTTTTTAATTTTTTTATTGGTTGAATCATTATCTCTCCTATTTTGCTAGAATCTCAAAATTAAACCGTGAACTTCACATTTTAGTTATCATTAACTTTTTTTTTTATGATGTATTACAATTATCAATTATTTTAGAAAATATATGCCTAATTATATATTATTCACATATTTAAGATAATACTAGAGGGGTCGAGACACTTTGTGCCTCTAATAGTTGCACACAAACAAATATTATAAATTATAGATAGTTATTTAGAAAAAATATAAAAAGATTTTTTTTTTATATTTAAGGGGTATAATCATCCACTAAAAAGTGGAGATCAAAGATATGGTTACTAAAATATATCCCCTTTATAAATAATATTTAAAAATCAAATAGTAAAAAAAATCAGCACAAACACGAGCAATAGTAAATATTTAAAAAGAATGTAATTTTTAATCCGCTTTAGACATTAAAAAAAATCAAATAGTAAATATTTACTAGGTTAGTGATTAAAGTATAACTTCCCACAAACACTAAAAATAAAGTACATCATTTTAGTTATTTTTATTTGAATCGTATAATACTCTGACACCATCTCACTTATAATTTTTTTTCTTCAAAGTTTAACACACGAAGATTTTAATTATGTTATAAATTTAATTTTTTAAGTACAATAAAAATAAAAATTATTTCAGTAATATTTGTATATTTTAAAAACGATTGATATATAATTATCTGAATTTAATAATTATACAATAATAATGTAAAAAAAATTTATTCTATAAATTAATTTCCTTTTTTATTATTTTCATTTTTAATTTAATTATTATAAAATTATTTTATATCTATCTTGACATAGTGTATCACATTTTTTTTAATTGTTTATCATTATTATTATTATTAATATATCAACAAGATATTCTTTTTATAATGACTTTCGTCTTCACGTTTTGTTTATCATTATATTCTTTAATTTTAAAAAATTCAAAAAAATAATATTTTTTTATCTAAACTAATATACAGAGAAAATACTCCTTTTAATATCCACTTTTGTCTTCATATTTTATTTATTATTATACTCTTTTATTTTAAAAAAATTAGAAAAATAATATTTTTCTATTAAATTCAAGATTTCGAAATTAATAAACTAATTATAACATTAATTAATTATACCATCATATTTTATTACTTAATTTATATATATATATAAGGAGAGATCCTTTTACTCTAGGAGTAAGTCTAGAGACTTACTCCGTTCAATAACTCATGTTCTACATCAAATTTCAACGATCCAACCATTCAATTTAAAGTTCTTAATGCATAGATCAAATTTGTAAATTTTTAGAAAATTTGAAAATTATTTGATATTTCGTTTCATTAGTTCAAATCAATGTATAAAATGATTTTATGATTATTCGTCAATTTGAATTAATGAAACGAAGTATCAAATGATTTTCAAATTTTTAAAAAATTTGTAGATTTGATCTATGCATTAAGAACTTTAAACTAAATGATTGGATCGTTGAAATTTGATGTAGAACATGAGTTATTGAACGATGTAAGTCTAGGTAGACTTACTTTGTAACTAAAAGGATCCCTTCTCTATATCTATACTAATCTATACTAATATATAAAGAGAATATCATTTTCAATAACCACCTTGGTCTCCACTTTTTTTTGACCATTATACTCTTTTATTTTTTATACTAATATATAAAGGGGATATCCTTTTCAATAACCACCTTGGTCTCCACTTTTTTTTTTACCATTATACTTTTTTATTTTAAAAAATTAGAAAAAATATTTTTTAATCTATACTAATCTATACTATCTATACTAATCTATACTAATATATAAAGGGGATACCCTTTTCAGTAACCACCTTGGTCTCCACTTTTCTTGATCATTTACCCTTCTATTTTAAAAAATCTATACTAATATATAAAGGAGATACCCTTTTCAATAACCACCTTGATCTCCACTTTTCTTGACCATTTACCCTTTTATTTTAAAAAATTAGAAAAAATATTTTTTTAATCAAATTTAAGAACTTGAAACTAATAAATTTATACTAATATATAAAAGGGATATCACTTTCAATAATTATTTTTATTTTTATTTTTACATGAATCATTTTATTTTTTGTTTATTTTTCAATAATTACTTTTTATGAGTAATTTCTCATTTTTTTCTTTATTTATTTATTTATTTATTTTAATATAATGCAAACATGGAGTGCATTTTTTCTTACTGACATATATAATATACTTTAAAAAAGAAAAACTCGTGATGACGTAACACTGAATATGATTTGATAATTAATAAGGGGCGCAAAGAGGCGATGCATGGGTTGGCCATGTGGAGATAAGTTTCGTGGCAATTTTGGCATTGTGGGTTGGCCACGTGGAGAATCCGTTACTCACGCCATTTGTATGTTTTCTGGCGCCTGCAATCAGAGAGAGAGAGAGAGGGAGGGAGGCAAATAACACGTTTTTGAAGCGATTCCACGTTTAACTGTTAATCCTCCCTCTTTTCTCAAATTTGAAGACCATTAAGAAAAAACGCAAAAACTGTTAGGGTTTCCCCTGAACCGGTTTCTGTGTAAAACCTTTCCGTGAAGGCGAAACCCGTCCTCGTTCTCTTTTCTTCGCAACATTCTGCTTTTCCCCCACTTTCCCCCTAATTCTACGCTCTTCACCAACTAATTATTTATGCAGGTATCTTCTTCGTCGAATATTTTTGTTCTCGTTCTTCCCCTGTTTTACGTAACATAGAAGAAACCTTACATTTGATCGGTCACTCATCTCCTCATTAGAAATACATGTGTACACATGATACTCACAAGTTATATACATGTATTATAACTCAATCAACATCAAACAATAGTATAAAATACGTGTCTCACAATGTTCTATATTTTCAAGTGGTGACATGCATCTTGATTTGCTAGTGTTGCCAACTTTGTACATACCTATCTTTTTCATTCCATCAATTGTGCTGTTTTGCTTACTCTCCTGACTCACGGTGACTGCAATTTCAATTGGTTTAATGGTGATGTGATTATGAATCATAGGTTCCAAAAACAATGTTAGTTTGCCTGGTTATATCTATGACATACCTGTTTTGGATGTTTGAATAGGTGCCTAAGTTTATTTAATTTTTCTATATAGTGATTTACTACACAAGTTTTGACTCCAATTTCATGAAAACTAAACAGAATAGTTACAATATCACATTTATGAATTATTTAGACCCTCTAGTATTCCTTGGTAAATTGCAAGCAAGTATTTTCTATTAAGATAAAAGGTTTATAATACTATATTTCATGCTGCTTTGCATTCGTCAATTCTCTGGATTTTTCTTGTGTGTTAATTTTAAATGAATGATCAATCTCTTCACATCAATCCTTTGCTTCTCTGTATTGTTGCCTATTGTTTTCAGGTAAAATTCACGCAGTTTAAGGGTGAAAGTTAACCAAATAAAGGAAAGGATTTTGCAATGTTGCATTCCCAAACATCTCCAAAAGCCATTTCTTATTGAGATATCAATTGGAGTATTGTTCTTTCAGGTGATGGATAGATTTTGATGTCTTATGCCTTTTTCTTGGGTAATTAGATCTGTCAAGTTTGCCTTAGTAGGCAGAGATGGACCTCGCTGCTCTTTTGACTTCTGCTGGAATGAATATTACTGTGTGCGTGGTGCTCTTTTCACTCTACTCTGTGTTAAGGAAACAGCCCAGCAATGTCAATGTGTACTTTGGAAGAAAGCTAGCTTCTCGCCGTTCAAAAAGCCATGATGTTTGTTTGGAAAGATTTGTCCCCTCTCCTACGTGGGTAATGAAAGCATGGGAAACAACTCAGGAAGAACTACTGACTATCGGGGGCTTGGATGCTGTGGTTTTTAGCAGGATGGTTGTGTTCAGGTTGTTCAATCATTTTAAAATTGAAACTTTTCACAGCTACATGTCTTATACTGTGCCAGACTATAGTGAAATGCTTATATTGTTTTAATCTGAAATCCACTAGATGCCAACCTACTGAGTGTAGGTATCTTAATCCTAGATAAGTAGAAGTGAATATATCGTATGGTATTATGCCCAATTATAAATAAATATATATATAT